AATATGGAGATCTACGAAAAAATACGCGAGGACTAGAACTTTCTCCAAAGAATACATATGGAAACTATTTCGAGAGTTGTCAAGCAACGATCACTGTCACGGTGGTCAAAACTGCATCTGTGATTTCGGTGAACCCTCCGCGTTACACGTCGGACATTGATCAGTGGTGACGCATGCCGAGATCTCTCACGATTTCCTAAAATTAACGCATTTATATAAAACGTTAATTTATAATAAAAAATTATAACAAATTATTATAAATAATAATTATAACAAAATATAACGCATTTATAATAAAAGTGGATCGAGTTGTTAGTTTTTAAACTAACGTATATTAGTATCGATTTTATTTATATCAAATTTCGATCCAATATCTATGTCTTTAATTACACGGATTTCAATTTCTTATTGATGGATAATATTTATATAAAAGTAATCGTTTCGTGTTGGTATCTGTCTGATACTTTGGTGAAAATGTTGATATCTCATAAATACACGTATAACACGTTACAAAAATTTCAATACTTATTTAATATATTAGTCATTATTTTTAAAAGTTTTAAAATTCATACTCAATTTAATTCTTTCAAACATATTTATTTTATATTTATTTTTTTTTTAATGCATCTCTTTCTATATGATATAAATGATAATATATTTATTATTAAAAAATTTATAATAAACAGTTTAAAGTTTCCTTTAAAGTTTACACTTTACATAAATGCAGTGTAATTTCATAAAAATCATTCATAATTTCTCGTGAATCACAAGAGGGGGAAAAACATCAGTATCAATATCATTGCAATGCAAAACATTTTCAAGGAAACAGCATTTTCATTGCCAAAGAAGAAAGAATCCTCTTAAGAGGATTCATTTATCGCCGCGCGACGCTTAAGAGGATGCGACAGAAAAGAACGGATCTTGCGAAAATTCTTTCGCGAATCCGTAAACTCCTCTCAGTCTCGCGCGCGCGAGGAAAAATAAAAGAGCAAAAGAGAGAGAGAGAGAACAAAGGCGAGCGTGGAAGGGCACCGTGTCTCGGTTACAAGATAAAGAGGACGACAAAGACACGGTGGAGAGTGTCCAGACTCGGCTCATAATTTTCGTTGGGCGGTGCGCGACGTACGACGTGTACGTGTCACCACGTCGCGACGCACCCGTCCGTCTCATAGCGACTGGAACACCAAAAACGAACTATCCGGCTATTTTATTGCCGTTCTCCAGACTTGAGAAATTCCTTCGTTCCCCCTCCCCTTTTCTTCTTTTGTTTTCACTTAAAGAAATTCATTCAGCAGTTCGGTGTTTTTAATTAGAGCTTAAGAGGTTAATGTGTCTTCTCTCCATTATTGGACAGCATCAATTAGAAGATAATTAAAATTATTTGCGAAAAGGTATATATTTATCGATTTTCCAGTTATTAAGAGTTAATTGTAGTAATTCGTATTTTGATTAATAATTCCTTTTGAGAATTTGTTCGAAAGAAATTAACGAGTAGAAGAGATAAAATTGTAATACAAGAAAATTAGATAAATAACATCATTTTAAGCTTTAATTTAAATGGACCGCTTATTAATGATTCGTGAGCCTCGTGATAAAAATCTCGCGATAAGACGTGCGAATCTTTGAAGAATCTTTAATACACGCATGCAAGTACTTTATTTCGAGAAAAATTCGGTTTCAAGCGAATGTCGAAAGTGGGCAGCGAGGAAACGGATGCATGGCCGCGTTTTATTGAGCCAACACAGTTGACAGTAAGAGTGACTGCGCTCGTAAAAGCCTCGTATAAATAAAATCGCCGGGAATATAATTGTTTGCTGAGAGCCGGGGATGATTCTACGATGGAATAGATATACATATTCGTATATTTGGAGGGCAAAACAAACATAAAAGTTGATACACACGGAAATTTCGATTGAGATTTATTTATTAAATTGTAAATAGTTTAAATTCGCATTCGATGAAATGGGATGAAAAAAAAAAGTAAATATGTATATAATAAATAATAATCGATAATTCTTCATATTTTTGTGTTTGTTTTCATCTCTAAAATCTAAATCGTCCAAAGAATATTAAAAATATATCAACATCTTGTATGCACAAATATAATCCTGTTCTTTCGATTAATTTTCGAATAATTTTTTTTTTCTTGATAAATTTTTGTCCATTCTTTCTTTTTAAATTCTTTCCTTTTTTATCGATTAGAATTTCAAGTATCCAATAACTCGAGCATCTTGATTCGTTTCACGAATTATATAACTATTTTTTAACGCGGTTGCCGTCGGACATCGTTAAAAGAACTTGGAAAGAATTCAGATTACGTAACGAGACTTAAAATTGCCTTAAAAAAAAAGATAATGGTTTATCGATATTTTTCTTATCTGAAAATTGAAATCGAAAAATTTAAATATATTCTTAAAATATGTTTTTATTTTTCTGAAAATTTAAGGATCGTTTTTGACATTTTTCAATATTAAAATATTGAAGCATCGTGATTTTAGAATTAGAATATTAACTCGAATTGAGAAATTGTTAACGCGTACCCGTTATATTTTCGAAGAAAATAAAAGAAAGTATATTCGGAATATACGAGAGGAAGAGAAAGAGAGCTCACGGTTAGGGCGAAATCGTTACTCGACACCCTTGTGTAACGAGAGTCAAGCCGCAACTATGAAGAAGACCAATGTTCCGGGACATAAAGAACCGTGGTTTAGCGTGTCCCTGAAAATCGAAACCACCGTAACGCCGGCGCCTCTCATTTATCCATTTCTTATAAATCAAAATAAATATATCTCGTGTTTAACTCTTGAAATGAATCTAACATGAAATCTAATTAAAATTCTTTTTTTGAAGAGAGAAAAAAAAACAATAACTGAAAAATTACAAATGAGATTTGACAATCGAAGTTTGCAAACCATAAATTATTATTGAATATTTATTTTAATATTCCAGTATTACGGCCTTCAATGCTTCTATTGGCAAGTTATGAAAGTATGTCAATATCTTATCCATCTTTCAAAATAATTTTGGAAATGATTTTATAGAATAACTCATAGATCTATCGTCATTTTATTTTTGACATTTATTTTTTTTTTTATTTTTGAAAATAGAAAAAAAATTATTAAATACTAGATAAATAGAGAAAGTTTTCTGATTATATTTTAGTTAAAAGTCTAGAAAAAAATATATTTCAATAAAAAGAGTAATACAATAGCAACTCTTCTACAAAATTTAATTGTTTTAAAGGATGCATAGCTTAACAAAAGAGAATCATTTGAAAATATCCAGAATGACTTTTTCTTTTCCTTAGGTAAGAATTCTGGAAATAAATCGCAAATATCTATTAAATTCGATGTAAGAAGAAAGAAAATTCGTTTTTCGATTTTCTAAAAAGAGTATCAACACAAATGTCAACAAGTCATCTTATGGAAATAAAATGGATGGTAATCAAATTTTTTGAATGACCACGCACGCCTAAATTCTTTTACCCGTGAAGGGTTGTATCTAGAAAACAGCAGAAAGCCGCCGTGCTATCGTTTAGAAACCAATGAGGATCTAATGAAGGTGGAGCTTGCCAAGGAAATCTCCACCTACTCTTGAAATGCTCTATTTCTCTCCTCTCCTGCGTGCGTGTCTCCCTTCGTAAAAGGAAGAACGAGAGGCAAAATGAGAGACGAAGAGAGAGATAAAGCGAGAGAAACACAAGAGGGAGGAAAGAACGAAGAGGAGAGACAAATGAAGAGGCTGAGGAGGATCCTCAAGTACGTTTTAACTCGGCCAAGTCAGTTGGCATCTCGCCGCATCAACTAATGCGATGGCTTCGTTTCACGGTATTCAAAACGATCTTCCGACAAAATCGATCGACTAGTTGTGATTTACGCGCGTTTCGAATGATACCAATATTTGAACTTGAACGGAGCCACTTGATCGAAGATGTTTTAACAATATAGTGCGTGATCGATGCATGTATATATATATATACACATATATACATATATTATATACATATATACATGTATATTTATAATTTTGTTCGTATGTAAGACAATCCTTTGAGGACAACGTCCCTGAAAATAAATCTTATTATAGATAGAACGTTACAACTTCGTCGTTAAAACGAACTTCTTCTTCGTAGAGTGCCTGTTACAGAGAGAGATCTTCTTGGACGGTATCGCCATTTTGTACAAATCACGGTTATGCCGAAGATATTTTGGAAACGATAGAAATAGAATAGTCATTGCAACTCGTGAGAAAATCGTAAAACGTCCGAAACAGCGATTGATATATGAAGCTATAAAGAAACATACTCGTCGACAAAGAATGACGAAACGTTACACTATGCTGTTAGCATAAAGAATCGATTTAAAGTAGGTAAACGCCGATCCTACGAAAGAAAATTGATGTTCGTATAATACGATAATTGAGCCAATACGGTTCTTTTTTTGTCTTATCTATTTTCCATTTTTCTTGGTTAAAGTTCGATACGAAAAAAGAAAGGGGCATGTACTTCTATCCAAGTTACCCCTTCTCGCAAGATCTATAAAAAGTGAAACGAATTATAATCTTGATTCTAGTCGTGGATAGCATACTAGATAAAAATTCAACGCAATAAAAATCGCATTGACGTGTAAAAAGTACATAAAATTATTAATATTAAAAAAAATCATATCAGATTCTTCGATATTCTAATTGTTAATTGAAATATTCGCATGGTGATTATTAAACAATTCAAATTTAACATATATAAAACAATATTAAAAAATCAAACTTTACAATATTTTTTAAAAAAATGTATATATAAAATGTTTTCCGAGTAATTTCAAATACGTTGAGCAGCGTTCGATCAACACGTGGCGTAAAGTTTGAATTACTACGTCATTTGTGCAGAATAAGAAATGTCATCTTACGATTTATTAAATACCTCAATGACTATATCGTGTATTTACTTCGATATCTCAAAGTAATCAAGAACAATTACTTCAAGAGTAAAAAATATATTATATATGAAAAACGAAATTTATAATTCATTTTTTCAATTAAAACTTGTTCGTTGCCACTCTATTAAAGAGATTTATTTTTTAAACGAAACAATGTTGTGTGGAAATTCGGAACAAGTAGAAAACAACAGCGTAATAGTTTCACAGATTACGAATCCTCATACACCACAAGATTTCACGGTCTCACGCTTATTATCGACGCCAACTAACTCCTTAGGTAAGAATTCTGGAAATTTACAATCAAATTATTTTATATAAACATTTACGTAAGAATAAAATTGAATAAAATTTGAGATCGCGCGTTTCGTAATATACACGCTTGATGTATTTCCACGTTTCCATCCATGATCCACGATGAGTTTGATTTTATCGAAATCGCGCGTTTCCAGTCATGCTGTTCGCATTATACCGCTTTGATGAACGCTCGAACACAGTGGAGTCATTCAAGAATAGCTACGTCTGTACTGCTTCTCATCTTTGCTTTTTATGTTTTGGAAACGTTACTTCCTTATCGTGAGCGGCATCTTGAAATATTTCAATTGAATTTTCATTTTCGTTCACACGATATCGCGAATTTTTTCACAGAATAAAGTAATTGTGCTAAAAACTATACATACGTGTATTTTATAGAATGTAATGAAACTTCTACGGCACCTGCATGTAGAAGACCCAGAAGAAGTAGAACAACATTCTCGGCAGAACAATTAGCCGCTTTGGAAAGAGTGTTTGAAAGGACGCATTATCCAGACGCTTTTGTTCGAGAAGAACTTGCAACACGTGTCTCTTTATCGGAAGCCAGAGTACAGGTAACGTCACAATAATTAAATGAAACGTTAAAAAAATGATACTTACTTCGTGAAGTAGAAAAAAGATCGTGATGAATATGTAAAAGAGAAAAAGTATCGTATCGCTGGTGGGCCAAGTTCACATATGTTTCTTGGGATTATGATGGCTAACGTTAGAAAGAAGGCAGGCAAGCGGGCAGGCAGACAGGCAGACAGAGGTGCAGAAAAGAAAAGAAGTAAAAGAGAGAAAAAAGAAAGAAAGAGGATGGAGGTCGCCGAGGATAGCTAAGCAGAAAATCAGAGGAGACAGGTTGTCAGGGGCAAGGAGCTATGATTAGCTTGGCAGGATAGTTTTGTCGTTCCAGCGACATCTGTGCTTGGCATACGACGTACCGCATGCTGTATGATACGTTTCGTATCTAGCATGTGTGTGATGACTGGTGACTGTTACACGATTGTGCAGAAAGACTTTTCGTTGCTCGTGTCGATCCATCCACTGCCAGTGCTGCTGTTAAATTCCTCATCTTCGTCTTATCTGTCTGCCGTGAACTGTACGGTTGCCAGAAGTCGTCACGCTATCCAGCTTTTGCTTGCCATGTCCCTTCTTATGTTTGTTCTTCTATTTTCTATAAAATTTGCATAAACTTTGATTCTATTATCAAGATATGAATCGCTAATTATTATATTCATATTTCTCCTATTTTATAAACACAATCTTAATAAATGGAAATAATTTTTATAAATATAAATTTGTTGATAAATAATTAAAAATTTTTATTCTAGGTATGGTTTCAAAATAGACGCGCCAAATTTCGTCGGAATGAAAGAAGTTCTGCTATTAATCGGGGCGTCTCTACTAACAGAGAAGTAGAAACTACTTTACCTTTAAGGCCTATCAGAATAACGCATACACAGGAAAATAATTCGGAGATTTTGCAAACTCCTCAAGTGACGCAATATCCCTATAGCGAGTATTGGAGATCGTCGCAGCATTACACCTCTATGCAAACATCTACCTGCCATGGATTTATAAATAGTAATTTAGGAAATGTTAATCTTCCTTCGTATCATCAGGCAGAAATTCACGGAGGATCCACGATGAGCAATTTAAATGCATTACGATTCAGGACGCATCCATACGGAACTTCATATTCTCCCATGCATGCAAGCATGTAATCTCTCTCTCTCTTTCTCTCTCTTTCTTTTTTAATTTCATTTTCTAATTCGCGAATTTCAAGCATCATCAATTTATAAAATACCAAAGTTTTTACCAATTGTAATTGTAAGTTAATATAAAAAAAATATTGGGAAATATTATTATGCAAAAGGACCAATAGATCAAGTATGATTGCATAAAAGTAGGATTTAAGCAATAAAATACAGGGTAATGGAAATAACTCGAAATGTTATTTTGTAGAACTGAAATAGTTAATAAATAATAAAAATCGTAAATGTATTATCGCATCTTAATACAAGACATCTATACAGAAAATAGTATGTTAGTCTACAAAGTTATTATATTATGTATATTAATCATAGAAAAAAGGAAAAATATATATATATATGTATAAATATGAAGATCGCACAGTGGAAGAACGGGTTGTTTACTCGTTGCGGCAAGAAATATGTAAAATTACAGTCATAAAATGAATACGATTATTTGTTTACATATAATGTACGAATATTGGCACAAAATTAGAATATAAATTTTCTAAATATATTGGTCACATGTATAATCGTTATTAATACTAATCGAGCTAAAACCACATAAAAAGATTTCAAAAACCTTTTCTTATATAGTAATCGTTACATGTTAACCATCCGTCCAAAATTTTTAACTATAGAAATATCTTTAATACTATAGAAATATCTTTAATACTATACAGTTACTTGTACATTTTGTACAGCATTACTCCAATCTACTTTTGAAGGAACCAAATAAAATGCAGGTGCTATTTTACTGCCGCATGGACATTGACTACCCGCTATCCAACTAAAAAAACCTAACTTCGTATTACATTTTGGACAATTTAATTTGCCCTCAACATTATGTGTTATGTCGGGCATCCACGCTAGCGGTTCCACAAATAATGTTTTGGTACAAAATTCTACAGATTGTTGCTCTTCTTTTTGTAATGGTTCTAATAGTTCGTGCGATGGTTTTGATTGTTTAGACGTTTTTCTCGAACTTATATGTCTCCAAATTTGTTTTTCTTTTGGCATATGTGGTAAAATATTACTAGCACTAGCTACGATTCTTCGACATTTTTTACAACGATATACTGTTGGCTCTGGATGTACTGTAGCAAGAGCTGGATCTGGTTTTATTAATTCTGCACAATTTTGTGGTAAAATTTTTGCTTTTCTTACCTTATCTGCTGCAATTTGTAACTTGTACATTTTAAATTGTACATTAGTATTATCTATTCCAAAACACATTTCTTCATAAAGTTTTAATTGTGCCAAAAAACCAGCATTAGGTCCAACAAAACGCCTTTTTTTTTTTACAGCTTCAAATGCATCATAGAAACTTTTTCCATATTTCTTCATTAAATATGCAATAACAATTGTAGCTGATCTAGACACACCAAAATAACAATGTATCAAAATTTTATTGTTTAACTGTAGAGCATGATCTATAAATTCATAAGAATCTTCAAAATGAGTTAAAAGATCTTCACGTGGCATATCAGTAACTGAAATATATTTTATAATCAAATTTGGTAAAAGCTCTTGAATCTTTCTTGGAAGTGGACATGAATCTACAGTGAGTATATAATTTATTTTGGTTTCTTTTAACCACTTGATATCAGTAGCGGCTGTAAGATTTCCAAGAAATAAGCTAGGAATAATTTCATCATAGCTTGATGGACCAGCATCAAAATCTTCTCTAATTAATTTAGTAGTTGCTTCTTGCGCCATGCTGATTATGCTAGAATAAAGAATAAAGCTACGGCATGTATTTTTAATGAAAATTAATTTATTAATCAATTATAATATAAAATATATAACAAAGTAAATTAAATCATTAAAAAATTTCTAAATTAAAATTATCATAGAGAGAATAATAACATAAAAAGATTTCCTAAATAAATAATTTTCCTAGAAGTACAAATATTTGTCCATATGTAAAAGAATGTGGAATTTTCAAAATATATTTAAATATGAAACATGCTCTTTAAATACAAATTATATTTTTTATTACCTCCTTTAAACGTATAATAATTGTAGTATTTCGAATTATGAAACTAGTTTTATAAATATTATTTGAACAATATGAAAAATATAAATCTTAATAATAACATGTTTTATAAAAAAATTGTATTTTTTTTTTTATGATAGAAAGATTATTATTATTAAACACAATATATTTAAAATTGAAAAATTTCAAATTCATCAATAACTTCACTTATTTTATTTATAAAAATTTTATTTTTAAAAGTGAAATATTATTATTCTTCCACTTTTACATAACACAAAATAATAAACACACATTCTACATTTAACAAATTTCGATATACAATATACTAGTTTTATTTCTCAACGTATGATTAAGATGGCGCTTCAGTACACATATTCTTATGATCCAATTCTAAAATCTAAAATATACATATTTTAATTATGCAACACTTTATAATTCATACAATTGTTATTTTATGTTTAAAATCGTTATCAGAACATCATTTAATATTAATATTAAACAATCAATTTTAATTATAATTTTTATAGAATAATTATTAGAATTTTTTAAAATGTTTTTTAATGTTTTTAATTTGTAAAAAAAATTATACCTTATTTTTTATACCCAATTATACCCAATTAATATCTTATTACATTATAATAATGGTACAAATAATTTAAAAATTAAATTTATTCGTTATTTTATATACAACCATAAAATATATTGTATTTTAAAGATGTACGAATCAATATGTATAAGTAATATGTATATCAATATATATATATATACATAATTTAAATATCTATTTCAATATAAATAATTTCAATATTTTAATAAATATATGTATATATATACATATACATTTTCAATTTAAAAATAAGTGCGAATTTCATATTTTATCAAAATTATATTTTATTGTAGATAAATAAAATAGAAATATTAAAATATTAAGATAATAAACAAAATTATTGAATTGTAATAAAAAGATAAAAATACAAAATTATTTATCAATTATATTATTAGTTCAAACAAATTATTCTATATTATTTCATTTAAAATTATCAAAATTTATCTTAAAGATTTTTTAAATTTTGTTAAAGAATAATTTTATTACCCAATTTGAAATATTTGAAATAAAGAAATATTGTTGTTAAAACAAATGTGTTAGAAAATAAAAAAAAATAAAGAATATAATAAAAGAAAATTTTAAGAAAATTAAAAGAAAATATAATTTAAGTAGTTGATCTTTGTACTTTTAAAAAGACCATGAAATAAATTGTACTGACCACGTATGCCGGAAGTGACGCGTACCTCGATCTCCACATCATTCAGAAGAGTTGCAAGAATACTTACTACCGCTTACACAATTGTGCTGAGCGGTAAGGTTATTTGTTCCGTGTTTCTCCAATTTTCTCCCTCTCTCCTTCTCCTTTTCTGTCTTTGTCTACTCGTTTCTATCAGTATCACTTGCGTGCGCGCACGTGTGTATATGTAAGTGTATGGATACTTTTTGATTTTTAAATAAAACAAGATGCTAATCTCGCAGGAGGTAATCTCAAAAGCGGAAGAAATCGCAGATCAGGTAAATTTATGGATTATCGCATTCGATTTATTTTTTTTTATGAATAATTTTAATTTCACGTTCAGAAATTCATAACAAAAGACCAGCAAAATTCCTACAGGAACACAGGTGTACTCCTGTCAACGTCATCGTGTTACGATTAGTATATTACATTCACATATTTTAATTTTAATTTTTTATTTTCTTGATTATTTCTTGATATAAAGATTCTATAATATTATTAAATATTGTAAACTTTCTTATATTAATGTTTGCACCCTAAAAAATTAAAGGTTAGGGAATTTATATATTACAAATACCATGTTCATATCAAAATGAGATCAAAATAAAATTTATATTATTGTTTAGTTAAAATAAATTTAACGAATAAAAATTTGTTTATATGTTTAGGAAGATATTAATTTTTTATAATTATTTTAGTTTTCTTTATTTATATAATATTTTTTTCACTTTCATTAATCTTTATAAAAAACATTCATTTTTTAATGTTATTATATGCTTATTTTAGTTGTTTTAGTAATAGAAAATATTCAATAGATATAAAAACTTATGTAAATAATTTTTAATATATAAATTCTTATTTTTAAAAAATTTATTTTAAAAATAAAATTAAAAAATTCTTATTTTTTAAGTATAATATATAATTCTAATTATTATTATTTTTTACTAATAGGTAATTCGCAATGGAAAGCATATACTGCCAACTCTTGCAAGACTTTGTCTCATAGCTACATTTCTAGAAGATGGATTAAGAATGTGGTTTCAATGGTCAGAGCAAAAAGAATTTATGAACAATAGTTGGCATTGTGGTAGCTTTTTAGCTACAGTATTTGTCTTTGTTAATTTAATTGGACAACTTGGTGGGTGTGTCATGGTTATTGGAAGATGGAAAGTCAGCATTGCTTGTGGAATCTTGTTTTTCATAGTCGTTCTTCAGACATTAGCTTACAATATTTTCTGGGATATAACATTTCTATTTAGAAATTTGGCATTAATAGGAGCACTTCTTTTGGTTTTGGCTGAATCAAGAGGAGAAGGCAGATCATTATTTGCTGGTGTTCCAAGTTTGGGAGATAATAAGCCTAAAAATCTTTTACAATTAGCTGGAAGAATTTTATTAGCATTTATGTTCACTACGCTAATTCGTTTTGAAATATCATTCCTTCAAATTTTACAAGATATTCTTGGAAGCAGTTTGATGGTATTAGTAACTATTGGATATAAAACCAAACTCAGTGCACTGTTACTTGTCTTACTATTATCTGCATTGAATCTTTATCACAATGCATGGTGGACCATTCCAGAGTATAAAGCACTTCGAGACTTCCTTAAATATGATTTTTTCCAGGTATTTTTCAATTCTTTTTATTGTTTTTTATTATAAATTAGTTAATCATTTATCTTATAATTTTATTAATTAAAAATATAATAAATTTAAATTTTTACAGACGTTATCAGTGATTGGTGGCCTTTTAATGATAGTTTCTTTAGGACCTGGAGGTGTATCAATGGATGAACATAAAAAAGAGTGGTAGATGTTATTATCACTTAAATGTGCATCATTACATTGTCATAATCATTAAGTAAAAGCAGTCTCCCATTCCTGTTCCTTTATATGCTCAATCAAGTTTATAATAAGTTCATTGTTTATTGGATAAAGAACTATAATATCCATTGATTTAAAATTATTTAATTTGGATAAAGAAATTGTTAAAGTAGAATTTAAATTTTTTACTCTTTTTTTTAAATTTAAATGCGTAAAATTATAATGAAAAAAAAATGAAAAACTATAAAATAGTAATTATAAAACAGTTTAGAGATAAATAAGATGAAGACAATGTACACCAAGACTAATTTATATTATCAGTAATGGCATTGTACATATGACACTACATTTATCAAGAAAAACAAAATATATTTTTTCTGTGTGTTTTTAATTTTTTCTCTGTTTTTGATCTTGAATCCTAGTCGGATTGCATGATTTTAAATATCAAGATATTCTTCCATAGAAATGTAATTTTTAAGTTGCTTTATTAAATTTAAGAAGACAAAATGAAGATATTACATTTTCGAGATTTTTATACAATTAAATTATTGTAAATAAATATTTCATATCAGAGTTTCATTGTTACTACTTATATAATTTTTATTCATCAATTAATAATTAATAATTATTATATTTATATTCACCTAATGAATAAGTTCCTTAAAATAAATTGATTTAAAAATAATCATTAAACAAATTCATATAATTAAAATAGTAAATAAACAAAAACATTTATTTTTCTGTTTTCTTAATTAATGCCATGCGAAAATATAAAATTATAACATTAAATAAATAATTTATTTCAAAACAAAAATATAGAATGAATGACTATCAATTATTAAGGGAACAAATATTTCAATGGTGTAATAAACGTCTTCGAAATCTTATATAAATTAAGACATCCTATTTTGGACGATAGATATTCACGTAAAACTAGTAAGGCGATTATAGCAATTTAATGAAATTGTTATCGTAAGATAAATTATTTATTTATAAACCGATTTATATTTATATATAAATTTTAAATATTTATATTTATATGTATATATATATATATATGTATATAAATGTTATATATTTAACATAAATATATAAAAAAATATTTTATTTCATTTTATTTAAGATTTAACAATATAAAAAATTATATATAAAAAAGTGAGATATAACTCACTTATTATTCAAATATTATTACATTCGTATATATGTATATAAAATTTTGTTATTAATAAATCGAAAGTTTTTTCTTTTTTATTTAAAAGCAAAAGATTTTTTATTTAAAAAACAAATATAAATTAAATTATATATGTTTAAAAAATTTTAAACTAAAATTTAATTTTAATTGTTGATATTATTAAATATTATCTAATTAAATATTATCTAATATAATTATCAATCTAATATTTACATTTCAATTTATAAATATTAATCATTTACAATTATATCGAATATGAACAGTATAATATATAATTATAATATAAATATTTTTAATAATTTTAATATTTATATTATTAATTTAAATTTAATAAAATGAGAATGTTTTTGAAATGCATTTAATATTATTAAAAAACATCCTATTGCAAATTTTTATTTAATGAATTTAAATAAAATCAATATTAATAAAGTTAAATAATGCTTATTATATAAGTTGTTATGAACGAGGTCTAATATTATATATATATATGTTGAAATACACGAGTTAAAAGATGAGTAGCAGAATTTACGAAAAGTCATCAAATTAAAATTATCATATCTTATCTATGATGAATCATATGTTCACCATAAACAAAATAGAAAATAGACATGACATATAATACATTTTTTGTTATGGAATTCGCGGATCATATAAATACAGATAAGAAAGTCTGTGTCCCATAAAGTATATATTGGTATATATAATTGGTATATATAAGGTATATATATTTTCCAAGTCCGTTCCATATTTTTAATGTTCCAAAGTT